GGATGTGTGTGCTGTGCCTTGGTTACGAAGCGCTTTAATTTGATTTGCCGCTGACGCTTTTGATTGGTTAACATACCTTCAACCTGTCTCTTATACACATCTAGATGTGGATAAGAGACAGCCTTTGGCCTAAGATTCCCAGAAAGCGTTTTTAGTAGGCCTAGGTAATTATGCAAAACCCAGGCCTAACTAAAAAATTAAAATTGTCATAGTATGTAACTCAAGTTAAAATAACACTTTTCATTACTCGTGCAGCTTAATCAATTATTATATGTCATTTTAAACGACCCATTGGTATTAACATGGTAACATCGATGTATTTTTAAAAATTAGACAGCGACGTTCTCTCAGAAGTTGTTCTGTAGACGTTTATCTGTTAATGACCTTATGACCTCCTAAATTCTGCAATGAGATTTTCGGGTCGATTCAGCCGAGACGGCCCGAGTGGAGTTTCATGTAAATGTTTCGTACGGAAAAAAAATCGCGAGCGGTGTACGGTATGGTCAGAGCGGTCAACCACCCACCACCATTGCCAACCATATTAAAGTTCATTCAGTATAATATCTAACAACTTCCGTGTTTACATTCTGGGACGTACTTGCATACGTGTGTTGCGTAAATGAGTACGCGCAGACTGTTGAAGGTATGTTAACCAATCAAAAGCGTCAGCGGCAAATCAAATTAAAGCACTTCGTAACCAAGGCACAGCACACACATCCTAGGCAGGGCGTATAAGCCCAGTGAAATAGTTCAGTTTTCTTTGCTATAAAAATCACCTTTCCCGTGGGTATATTTTGGTAAACTTTTTGCATGTTGTAGATATAAAATTTAACTATATATATTCATAAAAAAAAAGCGTTTTGTTGCAATTATGACCAACTTTTGTGCTTCAAATCCGTATTTCTGGTGGACTAATTGTGGGGAGGAGAACGGAGAGCGACAGAGAGAGAAGTAGGACTCTTGTAATTGGTGTTGTTGAATGATTAAAAATACAGCATTTCGTCAGGAGGTATGTAAATATGAACATAATCATTGTTAATATCGTATTATACAGGAGTAAACTCATGTGAATATTGTTAGGCTAGATGAGGTTATGTGTATTTAGGGACGTTTTTTTGTTTTGATGGCATCCTTCATCCGAAGCCTAACTTCGTGTTGAACTGTCATCTTAATGTAGGTCACCTTGCTTTAGTTAGGTGCCACTTAGGCCGTCGAATGCAGGCTGAGACCATGGACCTATTAATAATCTTATTAATAGGTCCATGCTGAGACCTTTCAAATTAATCTATGATTTCATTGTTTATGGCTACTGTATAGAAATTGCAGGTTATCATATATTGTTAAAATTATTGTTAATCAGTTACGATGTTGTTTTAATAATTATGCAACTTAATAAATAAAAGAAAGATCAATTATGTTGAAGTTTAGAATAGGGCCTACGGGGTGTCGGGTGTTGTAGAACATGGTTGGTCTCGTAGTTATCCGTTAAGAAAGGTAAGTGTTATATGGCCCATGGGCACCAGTTCCGTCAGGTCATGAATAATTAATGACGATGGTATATATAAATATTCATTAAAGATACTAGAAATACAAGATAGAGTTCTCCACACAAAAAAAGTGTTCCACCGTGTTCCACCGAAATGCATGGTGGACGCCCCCTACAGCTGGATCTAAAAAAACTTGTGTCAAACTTTCGTTACCAAGTCGTTGTGTATTTTATTATCAATTCTCAACAAAGATACTAGATATAAAAACAAACTAGAATAGACACCCAGACAGTGACATCGGTGAATACATTACCTCCTTGGTGGCGGTAGAAATCGTTGCTATTATCCAAATAATACACAAAACAATTAAAGCATAATCATGAATCATTAAAGAATAAAACAACAATACAGCGCAGAATCACATGGCCGGACGCACTCTTAGTGAAAAAGTTTTCCTCCATTAGTGGAAAAGGAAGGGCGCCTTTTGCGTCTGGATATTTCATAGAGATATAATAAGAATACTAGACCGCTAACAGCAATGTATTCGATGTTCGAAATACGCAGAGCTGTGTGTGTGTACCATCCAAGATGGCTGCCATAGATTCAGCCAATCAAATTTCCCCTGAGCACTATCATTTTCAATTGCACCCTAAATTTACACAGAAAGTTCAGTACAGATAGTTACCCGTATTTTGAAACTCGAGCGTTGCGGTGTATGGGTGTAATGTACACGATTTTAATTCTTTTTAATATTTGAATAAGATGCTCTACTTGGCCTCTTTTTGGCTACGACAGTTTAATAATTTGTCATTATCAATACTAATTATTAATGAAATCATATTTAGTCAGAGGGCTTATTTATGGTAATAATATGTATACTAAGCCTGAAGGTGGCGCTTTCCTACGGCAGCCATCTTGGATGGTACACATACACAACTCTGCATTGCTCCGCTATCTTGTCAGCACTCTAGTTGTTTAATAGCTCTATGGGATATACTTTGCAACAGAAGGGCGCCCTGTACGTTGGGCACGAAGTATAGGACACTTGCATGGTTAAAAAGAAGGGCGCCGCCTACGTTGGGCACGACTTCCGCCCATAGAGATATAATAAGAATACTAGATCGCTAACAGCAATGTATTCGATGTTCGAAATACGCAGAGTTGTGTGTGTGTACCATCCAAGATGGCTGCCATAGATTCAGCCAATCAAATTTCCCCTGAGCACTATCATTTTCAATTGCGCCCTCAATTTACACAGAAAGTTCAGTACAGCTAGTTACCCGTATTTTGAAACACGAGCGTTGCGGTGTATGGGTGTAATGTACACGATGCACTAATTTGCTAAAATAAATTGATAATAATTGATTATAGATAACATGGGCTCTACTTTAGTAAGTTGGGCACCAGTTAAGTGTGTTTAGTAGTAACCAATGAATATTGGCTAACTCTGGCACTAATTTTTTGCTAAAATAAATTGATAATAATTGATGAAAGATAACATGGGCACTACTTTAGTAAGTTGGGCA